ATTCGAGGTTAAATAAAGTTTATGTATGTATGTATGTATGTATGTTAATTAGATGCATGCTGTTACCAGCGACCCGTGGCATCATCCACTGTTTTTAGCTCGTGAAGAGCTATTGGAGTGGCTAGATTTCGCATTTTTCGGATAACGCTTCTCAGCCAATCGTTTTGGGTAATTCCCGTAACCATGGAATCCATTGTATTCGCCAAGTGACCTCACTGGAAGAATCCACAAACGTTGTTTGTAGAGGAAGCCATGTTGGATTTTCGCGATCACTTCATAATCACATGTAATCAGCAGCATATTTTGTGGACCTTGAGATATGAGATTGTCGTATTTATCATCAAGAAGAATCCGAAAACAACCTGGTTTGTCATATATTGGATCGATTAGACTCGGTCCAGATAATCTCAATCGTAGAAACATTTCGTAACCAGAAATCCGAAAAGAAAGGATTCTAGCCAATTTTTTWAATAGATTTTGTCATATATATATATATATATATATTGTGTATTTCTTTCTAACCCAAAGCAAAAATTTATTCGAAAATGAGGTTTAGGCCTTCATTTGCTTATTTCCCATGTATTTTCTATAAAAAAAAAGCCTGACAAAGCAAGATTCTAATACAAATGCAACAAAACATCTTTGTACAATTGAAAATACTGCTTCAAACAGGCATTTTATCATACTACATCAGTTTCTAACTGTTTAAAAAAGGTTTTGAGTGTTAACCCAAAACGAAAATTGGGATCAAAACGGCTCATACGAAAGTCTAGTTTTTGGCCCTTTTTGCACCAAAGCATAACTCCGACTATCACCTTACTCGGGTCACAATACCCTCAATGAAATGAGTCACCAACTGTCATTTGTTATCTCTTAAAATTCATTGATACTCAAAAAGCTTCACGAGCTTAGCATGGGTTTACCTTTGATTAATACGTGTTTGGCATTCTAAACCGACTGCATGGATGGCGCAAATGAATAAATTATAATATCATTATGTCATTTCCCATGTGCCATTTCGGTCTCAGCTTCTATGTTCTATGCTTCTGAACCCGACAACGATTCGTCAATTGAGTGTATACTCTGACAAGGGAGGAAACTTCAGTCGCCATATTTGAACAAACAACTCACTTCAAACCACGATTTTATCGTCTTTTAAACCTCGAACTCCACAAAAAACTTGATCAAACTGATCCCTACGATGGGGGATTYATTTATTTAAAACTATTTTGGTTGTTCCTACATGATTTCTATGACCGAAATTTTCGTGCAGAAAATTTTTCGCTTGCAGAATATTTTCTACCATGTTATGTCAAGGTTCTTACCTGCGTAGGACTCGGGCGAGAACGAATTTCGACCCACAGGACTAGTTTTGTTCTTGAAAATTCCTTCCACAAAGTCCTCTATGGTCGACATTTTTTTGCTTTTTTGGTTGTTTTTACTTCGAAAAATGAAAGCTAACTATAATTCAACACGATATCAGGTTTAGCGAAAATTACGATGGATTTTCTTTCATTTAACTTGAAATTTTGGAGATTTCCAGACTTTTTCAGGACAAAACTGTATCATCATGAAAGCTGGTAAGCAGAAATCGATGCTAATTTTTTATTCTTTTCGTTTTAGAAGTCCTTAATGTAAGTGAAAATATTCTAATGAATGAATTCATATCAGTTTATTCAGAAAAATAAATTTAATATTAACAAAATAATTTCAAGATTCAAAAATCCTAAAATGTAAACATTACGTGCAGTTATAATAAAAATTGAATAAATAGAGGATATTACGTGTATTTTTGAATAGCAAGAGATGCTATTTATAGAATCATTGATGCTATTTTAAACTCGTTACCATGCCCGCGCGATAATCATGCTTCCCTTTAATGCCTCGTTTTTGAACACGAAAAGCGCAATATTTCGCTACGTCCACGACAAAAACAGGCTTTGTTTACTGCAAGACTGGAAGCCGTCTACCCTCAAGAAATCAACCAATCAGGTTCTTTGCTCAAAATATCTCAAGCTAAAAATAGCATCAAACTGTGCACATGATGGTTACAAGGTTATATAGGTAGGATTCCTTCTCTTAGTTCATATTCTCTTTTGTGAATAGCAATTAATCGCAATGGTGTTATCTTCACACGTGCAAAATAGCATGTTATTTTCACGTGTGAAGATATCAATTTTTCGAAATAGAGAAAAATAGATATTTCATTGGTAATTATATAATAAAGTCAATTGTGCGGACAAACCCTGTACAAGTGATAAAAATGAAATAAAAAAATAAAAAAGTAATATGATATTAAAACCTGCACACACTCTTAGATGACAAGTCAACTAAATCAATCCACATGCTTGCCCAGATTTTGAAACTGTTAGGCTTCAAAACTTGGTATCCTGGATTGCCTTTGCTTCCATTACCTCTCTTCCTAGCTCTCCATATTCTAAGTCGTATTAATCAGTAGTTTAATATATGTATATGACGATATATTAGACGTATCAGGCCCCGTCGACACATATTCAGATATTTTTGAGAAAGGATTTGAGAACGATTTCAAACGGATTTCAAACGAAAAATTCTCTCCCACACGTAACGTTTTCGAATCGTTTTCGCGCGTCTACACGTATACGTTTTCAAACAGTTGCGTTTTCAAGGCTACAATCCACAAAGACATTTTTCTGTAATATTCGGAATATACGTGTGGACGGGACCTGGCATTTGCTCCGTGGAAATATTTAGGAATATGAATGAGGATTGATAACAAACTAAGTTAACTGAGTTTACGCAGATCAGATGAAAACCAATTTGAACACGTCTAGAAATTTAAAAAAAGTTGGTTTGGGACGTCAAGTTAAAGAAAACTAAAGAACATGACACACCGTTCTATAGACGTTTTGCACCATCACGTGCCCATGCCCATAATAAAGCTTGAGCTGCCTGTGGTCAGATGGCAGAACAATAAAATCCCTTTGTTCTTGGAAAATGAATTATTTCTGCTATCTAACATGGCTACCGTCACGTGATGGTGCAAAACCCCACTCACATTTGCAGTGCAACTGGACATTTTGCACGCACGCGCAAGCAACGTAAGAATGTCTTGTGTGTCAAACATCGTGTGTGTGTAGTGTGGTTAATTTTTAAGCATGGTTCTATGGCATTACCACAACGTGTTCTAGTGGTTTACGACCACCATTTGATGCGTTTCCAGCTCGTGGATTATAAAGTGCTTGGAAGTTTTTGTCATTATGATAAGAGGGCGGGCTTGCGTTCGGTATCAACTTCGGCTCTCTGCGAGGACTGCTTGACATTAGGGGTCCATTCTCCTTAAGCCCTTTTGCCTTCTGTATCCTCTCGTGGTTATGTGGTATCTTTTCGTATTGGTAAGATGATCCTGGTCTTGGGTTGGATGCTCTATTGAAAGCCTTTCCATTTGAATGCAGATACTGAAGCTAAAGAACAATGAATATGTAGTGGATAAGTAAGAAAGGATAAGTGGGAAAATGATGGATGGATGGATGGATGGATGGATGG